TGATTGGCTAATTTTTTTTTACCAACGGAGGCATGAGAGCTCCGCGCTCCCCTGGCCTCCCCCTCCCCTTCTCTATCACCGAGCGGTTGCAATTACATCAGCAGATTCGGCACATTCGCGATAGAAAAGCGGCGCTTTCACGTTATGGTATTACAACTGTGAAATTACAAACAAAAAATACACATTCTGAGACATGAACTGAAATGAATTGTGAATTTTATTAACATTAAATCGTCCTCCTCCCATTTTCACCTCAAAATTATGGGGAAGCTGTGCCTCCCCTGCCTCCCCCGACGAGCCGCCACTGGATTTGAATGACTATTTTTAGTATTTTTAATTTGATTAATATCTATACAATGTTTTAAAACATTTATATTTTTATACATTTATACTTTAACACATTTATATTCAGATACAATATATATTGATACAAAATTTGGATTTTTTTTTTTTACAACCAGAACAAATTAAATTAAAGTAGATATGTATATTTTTTTCTGTTAAAAACTGTTGACTTTGGCTTCTTTTGGCTTATTTTATTATGGATATTTTATTTATATCATATATATATATATATATATACGTATATTTGAAGTCTCTTATGCTCACCAGTGCTGATTTCTTTTTGTAGAAAAAATAGAGTAAAAACAGTAATATAGTGAAATATGAATACAATATTTAAAATAAGTATTTTCTATTTTAATATATCTTAAAATGTAATCTATTTGTGTGATGGCAAAGCTGAATGTTTAGAATTCATTACTTCGGTCTTTAGTGTTCTTAATCAATGTATGATTAAGTAATGTAAAAAAAAAAAGAATATTTGTTATTCATATCATTATGCTATTTATTTTAGTAAACATTTGAGTAAAATACATTATTTTATTTTTTTATGTTTTTATTTTATTACTTTGAAACATTTATAATTATTAAAGTACATAACTTTATTTTGAGTTATAGTAAATCATTTACCAAGTTCAGGTCAGACGTGCTACTGAAAATATTTTCCAGTTACAGATCTGATTTGATAATTGTGACTATTCCTGTTATCAATGTTTCAGCAAAACATAATGAAAGGTTTCAAGTCAGGCATATCAGGAATTCAAACCACGAGTTACAGGGATAGTGACTGAAAAAAAAAAACAGGAGGTGTTACAAATCATTAACCCTGACTGAAATACACACATTAAAGAGTTTCATAGCTTGATTTTGTATTTATTCACCTGAAAACCTCCATGCCCCAACCTGCCATCAGTGTGAAGACTCTCGGCCCCAGATCTCGTGTTGGATTGATGGCATAGCCGCTGTTGCTCCCCAGAGAGACACCAATGAGGAGCACCAGGAGCCCCACACCCACAGGCTCAACTCCAGGCACGACCGGCTGGTTTCTCTGGTCAGCCAGAGCCATCAGACACAGCAACAGCATGCCAGTGCCCAGAACCTGATTCAGAGATTTAAAAATATAAAGTTTTTAAAGAAAGAGTCCACCCAAAAATGAAAATTTGATGAACATATGCTCACCCTCAGGCCATCCCAGATGAAGATGAGTTTGTTTCTTCACTGAAACCATTTTGAAAAATTTAAACATTACATCACTTGCTCACCAATGGATCCTCTGCAGTGAATGGGTGCCGTCAGAATGAGAGTCCAAACAGCTGATAAAAACATCACAATAATCCACAAGTAATCCACACGGCCCTTGTAAGGTGAAAAGCTGCATGTTTGTAAAAACCAAATCCAAATATAAAAAACAAAGTCAATCCACTGTTGTCCTCTCATCTAAATGCACTGACAGATTTCTTTAGAACTGTTTTGGATGGTTTTCACTTGTAAAATGCTTGATCTGTGCATATTTCTCATATTTTGCATATTTCAAACAACATGTTTTTTTACTGGAGAAAGCAATATTAAGGATAGAGGACTTTGAGCCGGAAGCAATGGTTTGAAGTTAAAAATATCTTGATGGATTTGTTTGTTACAAACATGCAGCTTTTCACTTCATAAGACGTTAATTGATGGACTGGAGTCGTGTGGGTTTCTTGTGGATTATAGTGATGTTTTTATCAGCTGTTTGGACTCTCATTCTGACGGCACCCATTCACTCGAGATGATCCGCTGGTGGTGAGCAAGTAATGTAATGCAAAATTTCTCCAAATCTGTTCCGATAAAGAAACAAACTCATCTACATCTTGGATGGCTGAGGGTGAGTATTTTGTATTTTGTGGTAAATACAAAATCAATGATTTTTAGCATATTTTCATTTTTGGGTGAACTATTCTTATACACTATCATGTTTTTGGTTCATATCATAGTTAATTATGGAGCATTTATATTCATTTTCAGAATACCTGATCGAAGAATCCAGTGTAGATTGAGATGTAAGGTGCTGGATATGTAGCGAAGATCCCAGCTGTTGCTTTGGGGCCCGACACAGTGAAATTGCCCCCACAGTAATGATGTATAGCATCTATAAAGCACAGCACAGATGTGAGAGAAGAAACCTTGTGGCAATTTATTTGACCTACTCCAACACTAAGAACAAAAATAACTCCAGAAGAAGATGAGTATTTGCTCACCATAATAAAGTAAAAAAATGGTCCCAGCAGCAAGGAAGGAACCCAGAAACTGGGCAAAAACGTACAGTGGGAACATCTTCCAACGCAAACGGCCAAACACGCACATTGTGAATGAAACAGCTGCATTCATATGAGCTCCTATGTGATAGAGTAAAACATATTGCATGATTATTTGTCATTATGGAAAACAGTGAACTCTGACCTGGTGTTTGGGGTCAAGAGGGTCTCACCTGACACTTTTCCACCAACGTGCACACCCATAGCCACACTCAGCCCAAAGCCTACATTTATGCTGAAATACTCTCCAAAAACACCATTTCCTGTGACCACTTGTGCAACAGTGCCAAGGCCAAACACCTGGAATTCAAAAACAGAGTCTGTCTGATAATTCATAGATGCAGCAATTATAGGAAAATAAACCCTGGTGTAAAGCTTATTTCATGGCTACTTATCAAATAAATAAATACATTGACATGAAGTATTGATTTTAGTTGGGCATGTATAGAGGCCATGATGACACAGAAACAAGGTAATTGTAGGTAACATTTTTGTTATTGGAAATAAAATTTAAATGAGTTTTAGTAATTGACATTTTTAACCCCTTCAGGGGTGGAGAAAAGTATTTCTTCCCCTAATCGTGAAACTATTGGGAAACGTGTTTGGAAACAATAAACGTTTTTGAAGTTCCTTTTGCTACTAGCACAGAAATGACACACTTTACCTTTAATTTCACAATAAAAATGACTGACATTTAAAAAATAGCAAAAACTATTCAAATGTAAAAAAGCACATAACACATAAACGATGAAAATAAATATTCAATGAAAAACTAAATGAAATGATTCAGCTGAATGAAAATTAGAAATGTTGCTTTGGCAACTAACTGAAATGTGTTTAAATTGAAGCAATAACTGGAAATAAATCAAATCTAAAACTGAAATAAAAAATAATAAATCTTAAATAATAATGTTAAATAGAACAAAAAATAATAAAAATTACAAGAGCATGTAACAAAACGACTAAAATGGAACTAAAATTAAAAATAAAAGCTAATTCATAATATTAATCAAAACTATAATTGTATACTGAATATAGAACATTATTAAGTTTGCATAGGTTTTCTCAATTACTGGTGAGTTACATAGCATTGCTATTGGTCAAGTGTTTTGCATTGATTTCACCTGGCAATAATGGAAAAAGTATGTCAAGCCAATCTTTCTAAGAATAGAATTTATGTAGCACATGGTCTGACCTCAATCACCAGTGCAGTGTCAGACAACTGACCACTCATGCAAACTCATGTGGGCATGTGATCCAAAGCATTACAATGACAAGTACACAATGCTCTATGAAGACTTCATGAATGAATGAATAATCCAATGAACTGATACAATGAAAAAGAAATCATCAGTAAAATACTAAACAGTAATATTCTATTTAACTGTCTTCCAAGCTTGGCATCATTACATGCTGACAATTATTCACATCTTTATGCACTGAAAATGCTAATCATTCACTATTAAGCAGAATAATGAATTCTGACAAAATGAACAACCTCTTACCATCATGATGAACGTGCAGAGGGTCTCTGCCAGGACCACTCGAATGCATTCATTTTTTATCTTCAACCTGGAAACTACAGTAGGTGCCATATGGCCTTGTATCCTACTACCATCCTCCATTATGCTAACTTCCTGTTTCATTTCCTCTCGCTCTTTTTCTGTAGAAATCTATGTTATGACTATGTCAGACTCTTCGAATGGATTGTACTGTAGTGTTTGTCAGTTTGTCAGCGATGTCTATTTATATGAAGTCTTCGCCCCTCCCATTCCTCACACATGTACCCTCTGGTAACCTTGGGTGTTGGGAGGGGAACAGGAAATAGACAAGAAACACACACTGACAGCAGTATCATGAGTTGTTTAAACTTTCAAATGTTCCAACAGTATCAATTACAGATAAGATTATCCTGCAATATATTATATATGTGAACTGATATGTTCTTACAGTAACACAGATAATTCACTTGAACTTTAAATTGTGTATGCAAACTGTGATTTTAAACAGTTTCTCAATTGTGGTACAAGGTCTCAGCTTTAATTAAAACTAGTTTTAACTGATTCATGTAGCTATTGTTAATAAACTTGAACAATCAAAAAAATTTAATAAATAAGTAATTATTAATTAATGGTTTACTCTACACTAATAATATGCTATCATCAGTATTTACAAGAAGAAGTTTTA